CTTACCAGCTAGTAAAGAATAAATCACGCGACAAAAAATCCAAATTCCAAGTCAATATCAACAATCAATGAAGATATACTTCTTCTTTTTTTATTTCTTTAAGTCCCCAATGGAATATAGGGCTTCAAGCTGGAGACTTGAAGTTTCGGTAGCAGTGGTGTTTACTTTTACGGGATGACCGAATGCCAGCCTCATGTCCAACCTTCCGTCTTACACCAGTCTTATCAGTGGCTGAGCGAGGTAAAGGAGTGCGTCTGTGGCCGCCGATTGAATCCCGGCCAACATGCGTGGTTGGAGAGAATTCTAAAGCTGTGCCACCAAAGCACAATTGTTATTATTCTTTCCTTTAATTCCTAGAGGAACATAGGGCTTCAGCCACACGTCTCCATTGCGTTCGGCTCTCTGCTAGAGTCTTCACCTGGCTCCAAGTCTGCCCACACGTTTTCATCTCCTCTTCACGTAACCTCCTCCAAGTCACCCACCCTTGCACTGACGACCAACACGCCGCTTCCCTTTCATTCCGGGGGCCACTCGAGCGATGGCTTGTCTAGTGATGTCACTTGATGGTTTGTTTCCTCAGAGTATGGCCAGCCAACCCATCTCCGTTTCTTCCTGCCTATTCGTTTCACAATCGGTTCTTGCTGAGTTGGTTCGCTCATTGCCAGAGATCCCTCTCTGTTGCTGATCTTTTCTAGTCGGCCGGCCATCTGATCTTGAGTGGTGTTGAGCGAAGACAATTAGCTGTTGATGAAGGTCTGTAGTTTGTTTGAGGTGCTCTTTATGACGCGCAGTGCGTCTGTGATCCATATAGTGAGTAGCACTGACTGACTTCACATTGGAGTTGAAAATCAGGATCTTATCTTTGTTTTGATGCTGAGTGCTGTTGCCCTACTCCACACAGACTTGAGAGTAGTGAAAGTTTGTCTTGCTTTCCCAATCCTCGCTTTGATATCCTCGTCAGTTCCGTCTTCCTGTTGTTGAAACGATGCTTCCCAGGTCGGTTGGTGAAGGAGTTTGTCTCTTTCAGGTTCCTTCCATTTATGCTGGCTGATCGCTGTCTGTTGTTGTTGTTCTTGTCCAGGAATCTTCATCACCTCTGTTTTCTCTATGTTCACCTGAACTCCTTCCTATCTTTGATGCTTCTTCTGCCAACTTGTTGCTTTTCACCTGCATATCTTCCAGTTTGTGGGAAATCAGACATATATCATCAGCGAACTCCAGATCCTCCAAGTTATTTGTGTGAGTCCATTTTATGCCTGTTTCTTCATTGCCCGCTGTTTGTCGCATTATCCAATCTACTGTAATCAGGAAAATCTTTCGCACACAATGGAGATATACATTTACAACTGATCGCTATAAAGATTGTCAGGAGATACGATTAAATTATCATTCATGGAGAATTCCAAAATACGTTCACTGCATATTAAAATTTTGCACTGTATATGTTGCCTAGATGGATAACGAAAGCTTTTCATTAAAATAAACTAACCAGCTTAGAGCACGCAGTCAGATAAAATACCCGTGGTGTTTATAACAAACACATTTACATACATTCCCTAGTTTTAGGCAAATATATGATGCTAGTTAATCATGATTATAAATAATGAGTTTATTTATGCCTAAATGATTTTGGAGACAGAGAGACAGGGCGAGACAGTAGTGACTAATTGTAGTTTTGATGTGTTCAGGAAATGTGACTATGCGAAAGGGAAAAATTTCCTTATTTAATAAAAGTACAGTAACATTATTGATTAGAATGAATAACAAATTATGTCTACTAGTAGTGAGTAGTATCCATGATAAATTCAAATGGAGCGTAATTAGTCGTTACTGGTCAACAGTGACCATTCAACCATTTCACAACCTTTCGTTGAAATACAGTTTTACTATATATGCATATTATTATTACTATCATAGTATTGCTACCACTGCCTTGCCTAACAATGCCTATAAAGGTTTTTCTTCACAACAGTCGCATGAACATATTCCAGAAAACAAAACAATTTAGTCTATCTCATACCCTGCCTGAAATGATTGTCAGGTCAAATACATAGGTCAAACTAGTAGAACAGGGATAGTCAGACTAGCTGAACATAAAAACTTGACAAAATCTAGATTGGTTGACCCGAATAAGATAAGAAATCTAGAGAATATTTAAGCTGTAGCACTACATCCAATTATACACAACCATACAGTAGGATGGGATAAGATGACAGATTTAAAATCTAATGTCACAGGATGGAGGGAGAGACTGATAACAGAAGCTCTGTCTATCGAATCAACTGAAGAGAGTACGTGTAATAGGAATGATTCAACACCTGTCCACCCAGATATCTGGAAGATTCTACTACCCCAACGACAACAAATAGGAGAGAACAAAGAAAACTATAAAACTCAAGTGTCAAAGTCGTGTGATTATAATTGATGATATGATTATGAACAATAAATTTTGTTCGAAACATCATCCAGTATATAATACTGTTTCACTGTGTGATATATCTAATAAACAAACTAATATGTAATTACTTACTACCAGAGTGCCCAAGTTTTACACATATATTCCAGAAAACCAGTTTATCGTCAGTAATAGGGAGGCATTTATGACAGTGCTTGTCTATTATTGTCAACTCTGTGAACCTGGTTCGTACGGGTTTATATTATTTTACGCTAAATAATTGCAGTTATTCTGCTGATGCTTATGAGCTGAAAATTTCTACTTCAGTCGACTGACTGCCTAATAGGCGATATCAGAGTGAAGGCTTTCTACAGAAGTACAGCATTTCAGGTAGCACACCACACACTTTGGAAAAGCACACTAAAATGTAGGGAAGAGATGGACATTCAAAATGCAATAATAATTCGGAAATTATTCAAATGAACTGTCGTCAAAATTTGACAGAATAGATCTAAAATATTTGGACGCCGAGTGAAAAGTAGACATCGGTAAAAAATTATATTTGTAAAATCTCAGCGAGATTGAAATGAGTAATTCCAACGTTTCGTTCGGCAATCTGGTCCGAACTTCTTCAGGGAAATTAATCGAAATTAACATAACAGAGGTTTATATATAAAAAGGAACATCACTTGTTTTTAAAACCTTTGTCCAATCTTGAGTCATTCAATAAGTATAATAAACAAAATTGTATTAGCTATGATCAAAATTTGACCTCGGACTTACAAATATTGGTCTACCTTTGTTGAACACTTTAAACAGAGTGTGTATGTGTGTGTGGGTAAACAGTTGTAAAACATTTCTTAACGTCTCCATAAGAAGAAATGGACAGTCGAGAGTTTTGACCAAGTATTAATAATTAGTGATAAATATCCATTTTTAATTTACTAACAGTTTGAACAGACATGAAGGCGTGATGTTCGCTGATGCATAGGAAATCCTTATTAATAAATAAAAAATGGATATGTATCACTGATTATTAATACTTGGTCAAAATTCTCGACTGTCCATATCTTCTTATGGAGACGTTAAGAAATGTTTTACAACTGTTTACCCACACACACATACACACTCTGTTTAAAGTGTTTAACAAAGGTAGACCAATATTTGTAAGTCCGAGGTCAAATTTTGATCACAGCTCATAAAATTTTGTTTATTATACTTGTTGATACTTGTTGAATGACTCATGATTGGACAAAGTTTTTAAAACCAAGTGATGTTCCTTTTATATATAAACCTCTGTTATGTTAATTTCGATTAATTTCCCTGAAGAAGTTCGGACCAGATTGCCGAACGAAACGTTGGAATTACTCATTTCAATCTCGCTGAGATTTTACAAATATAATTTTTTACAAATTCGGAAATTAATTGAGTATTTTCACTACTAGAATGATAGTAAAAATTGGGATTACCTTTGTCAACAACAGTTGGCTACCTCAACCTGGTGGTCTCCACCTAGTGGCTACATGGCTCAAAACTAACTATTGAAGACTTAATCAACAGGTGCAACGATTCTCTCTGACCACTCCTGTTTACCGACGTATTTCTATTTCTGATAACATGTAGCACGTCAAAGAAGCTAGTCGTCTGGGAATGTGTTATTGCTCCAAGCAATCTCAGTCGATGTAACTACACAACCCCCGATTTGACTGACTTTCACCCGTTACCTATTATTTAACACTCAGCTGCACTAATACTGCTTAACTTGAATGACTTAATGCAGGAACCTTTCTCACTACTAAAACAGCAATTCTTATCTTAACTACGAAATGAAAAAATCAAGGATGGTATGTTGAGGGTGATTTCGAGATGAAGTATTTTCGGGATTTCAAAAAATAGGTCTTTCAAGGTTAATTATTCTCCAATAAAAATTTGAGAATAATTAGCCCAAGAAATATCTGAACATGTAAAAGTTAGTCATCCAGGAGTGGTCAAAATTATCTCCTACTTATAGCTGAGAAAAGATCGTGGCAGATGTGTCTAGAACTTCAACAAAATTGCGTTCTCTCAAGGGTTGTAAACATCTCACAGATTGTAGGGGCGTGAAAGATGCTGACATCAAAGTTTCGTTGCCAATTATTATTCCCTCACTTGACACAATTTCGTTCCTAAATATAATTTTCGTATGTACAGAAATAAAAAGACTGGACTCCAGTCACTTGCAGAAAGGTTGTTGGCCACAATCTTAACTTGTGAATGGAATGTCCTAGATTCGAATCATGATGGTCAAGTGCTGATGAAGAGTCCCAAACTAGGACGAAACAACTGTCCATTTATCTGTGACTTTTGCGTTAATGGTTAACCAAACATGGTCTAGCAATACATATGAGATATTTTTAAATGCGTCTTATGCGAACTTGCTTATTGTGAGAAAAATAATAATTGATTTTTCAAAGTCAAAAGAGCAACGTTTTTTCATTTCCCCTTTAACCTAATACATTAATGTCATGAATAGATTCGCTGGAGTCAACTAGTCTACTTAGTAAGCACAAAAAGTTAAACCTCATCAACAAAAATATTTGACAGTCAGTTAAGTTAGTTAACTTACATTTTGTGTACACTGTCCGTTTATTGATCTGTCGTAAAATACATAACCGCTTGGATAATTTGCAGGACATATATTAGGTGTTTGTGAATTTCTTTGACAGACATGTCTTCTAGCTGTCGTGTGTCGATCCAAATAGGGATGCATTGCTAGATAGTATTGCTTGGGTAACGGATATCTGAAAGATGTAAAGTGGTGTATAGTAATCAAATTTGTTGTGGATTTTATTTAAATGAAGTAAAAACCTATTGAAACACGTACTAAAGTGTACCATGACTGTCAGTTTTCAAAATCTGACGATGAACTCTATAGACCTGTGGATGTGGTGGTAATGGGCTCTTCATTGGGTTATATGTTATTAATATTGTTCCCTTGGGTTCCTAGTGGATCATAGGGCTCCAACAACACGTCTCCACTTGCTTCTGTCTTCTACTGTACTTTTCACTTGCATCCATGTTAGTTCATACTGTTTCAACTCTTCTTCACACGATCTCCTCCATGTCACAAATGGACGTCCCACTCGCCGCCGCTTCCCTTTCGGGTTCCACTCGAGCACTGGCCTGACGCACGATGTCACCCAGCGGCCTCCTCAGCGAGTGTCCAATCCATCTCCACTTTCTCCTGCATATTTGTTGAGTGATTGGTTCTTGTTTTGTTTCTTCCCATAGTTCCTTGTTGGTGATTCTTTCCGGCCATCTGATCTACAGAAAAGAGTGGAGGCAGCTGTAGATAAAGGTGTGCAACAGGCTGTTGGAAATATTCTTTGTGACCTGCCGCTAAGTTTCTGGTCCATCCGTAAAGAAGAACTGACTGACTTGACGTTTGTATTGAAAATCCGAATTTTGTTGTTGATGTTGAGGAGTGACAGCGGAAGATTTCCAGATTGGTTTTAGGTTGATGAATGTGTTTCTCGCCTTCCCGATTCTCGATTTGACATCCTTGTCCGTTCCTCGTGTAGTTGAGACAATGCTTTCTCCGCAGATAAGTGAATGAAGTAACCTCTTTCAAATCCCTCCCGTTGATGGTGATTGGCGCTGGATGTTGCTGCTATCGTTGTTGTTGTTGTTGTTGTTGGTTGGTTATTTTCATAACCTCCGTCTTGTCTATGTTCACCTGCAGTCCTGTCTTCTCTGGCTGCTTCTTCGACCAGTTTGTCGGTTTTCGCTTGTAAGTCTTCGATTTTGTGTGACATCAAACATAAATCATCCACGCGAGAAATCCAGATCTTCTTGATTCATCACGTCGTTTCAGGATATCTCTGTCTTCTCGTTTCCCACTGTCTGACGCATAATCCAGCCCACCACAATTAGGAATATCATTGGTGATGAGAAGCACCCTTGTCTGACTACTGTGTTTACTCTAAACGCCTCGCTGAGTTTTCCGTTGTGGATCACTTGACATGTGCCGTTATCGTACAGCTGTTGAATGAGGCTGATGAATATTTGCGGTACGCCGTAGTACTCGAGTAGTTTCCAAATTACTTCGCGGTCAACGCTGTCGAAGGCCTTCACAAAGTCTATAAAGTTGAGGTAGAGGTTTGATTGCCATTCCATGCTTTGTTCTGTGATGATGATGCGTAGAGTTGCAATTTGGTCAGCACATGATTTGCCTTTCCTGAATCCAGCTTGTTCTGGTCGGAACTCTGTATCCAGTGCGTTTTTTATTCTCTTCAGGATGATGCGACTCAGAATTTCATTTGGCGTCTGCAGGAGCATGATTCCTCGCCAGTTCTTGCAGAGTCCTAGGTAGCCTTTCTTTGGTAGTTTCACGAGGTAACCTTTCTTCCAGTCAGTAGGCACCTTTCCCTTCTTCCAGACCTTTCTCAGCAATGGAGTCAGCATATCTGCTGTCGTCTCTGGATGCGCTTTCAGTGCTTCAGGGGGTATAGTGTCATATGAATGCATCTTATCTCTTACTAATGGTTTTGATGTGTTTCCTATGGATACTACTGTAAATTAAAACAAAAATGCTGTCTATAAAAATAAAGCCTTAATTTTTGTAGTCATATTAACATAGAACTTGATTAAGAAGTCAACGAAAAGAACATTCCTTGTTCACTTAGCATGTTATAGATTATTGGATCTAATGTTCTGTTGATATAGTATGGTGAGGGGAAACACAAAAGTAACAGTTATAATACAGCTTAAAATTATGGTCACACTTATGAAAAAAAATAAACAAAACGAAAAAATTGAGAGGATTATAAGTATAAGAAGTACAATAACAATAAAGTATGATGCTTTAAGGGTGAAAGATATGGTTTATTTAGTGGTGCAAAGAAGGTTAGTTAGTTCATGCCTAACACTATTTTCATCACACAAAGTACGTGCCAAATATAGTATAGCGAGATTTTTATACCTAGACGTACGTGCATAAATTCTTCTGAAAAGACTTCTTGTTTTACCTGAGGAGACACAAGGTTGGAGCTGCGGGTAGAGTGGGTGCTCAGAGTCTGACAAAATTCCTCTAGCGAATTTGTCGCATGACATCAAATGCCTATCAGTGACAATGCCAACGATATGGCCCAATGGGATACCACTCGTCCTACTGATAGTATTCAGAGTTCTACGAAGTATGACATAGTCCTTTCTAAGCAATCCAGGAAAGAATAAGGATGAACAGTAAGGAAGAATAGGTAAAGTACACGAGTTGACAAAATGTAAGAGGAGTGGTTGGGTTATGCCTGAGTGCCTTAACTTCTTAATGTAAAACGTCGGATGAAATATTCTTTTAGAAATCGGTAAGACATGAGAGGACCAAAATAGGTCAGAAGAGAGAATTAATCCAAAATACTTGACTTCAGACTTGGTTTCTATATCAGTATCATCAATTTTGCAAGGACCATAGGAACCAACGGCTTCATCTAACTTTCGTTTACATCGGAAAATGAAGTTGACAGTCTTACATTTGGAAGGATTTAGTTTAAGGCCATTAGACGAAGACCATTTGCTAATTCCTGATAGAAAGCTGTTCATCTTAGTGCAGTCTAGCTGAGAGTTAACAGACATTGAAATAGTTAGATCATCGGCATATTTAACAAAGTATGTTCACCCATGTATTCTATCATCTGTCAATGATATTTTAAGAGGACAGTATCTCAGCGTGCGTAACATATGTCCCAACTATCTACATCCAGAATAACACCGATCAACGTTTCCTCTTCAAATCCTTGCTGATGTCTACACCAAAAAACACTACATGATTTGCTTACTTTAAAAATAGACGATGCTTTTCCGTGGTAATAATTTAATCCCTATGTTAAAAAGGCGACATTGGGCACCTTTGACGCAAACCACCAAGACAGTTTTACATAACCTTACACACACAGTTGCATCAATTCAGATACAGTACCTTGATGATTAGCGTGAAATACATTCTTAACATTGAATTCACAGCCAGACATTGTCACACTACCTCTAGAATAACTTAGTTAAATGCCACCATCGGTTTAAGAAATATATAGCAAATGCCAGACGCCAGTTAAAAATGGTAATGTTCTAGATTTCGTCAAACAGTGGATTTACAATTATTGTATGAATTAAAAGATTTCTCGGCTGATGACAGGAAGCATGTCATTACAGCTATTGCGCAGAAGCTACACAGCCCGCGATAAAAAATCACTGATACAGAGGAAGAATAAAAGTATACCATGGGAAATTCAATTCTACATTTTAATGTCTACAGTTTTTCTTTAAAATAGGGCGAATAAAACTAAAAATCTTGTCCATCTTTTCCTAATGGAGAAACAGTTAAACTAATTTAACAAGCGAAAAAAAAGAAAAACATTCAAGAATATAAATAATTGAATAATAAGAACGATAACAGAAGAATGATGAGAAAACACGAGATGCAAAAAATGGGGGAGACAGGGGATATACATTTTAATGTTTCAAAGGGGAAATTTAGTGAAATTCATGCCACTTCCAGTGTTAATCCTCACTTTTTGTGAATTTAACACGAAACTTATATGTGAAACATGTTCTAATTTGAAGACAAAGGCAATGTTTGTTTTTTCTTATTCAATGTACAGTGTACAAGCTATTTGATTTTTGGGCTGACACTGTAATTAGTATGTATTTCACTTTACTTCTTGATGAAGTCAGAAAAGACTTTAAATAAACTGGAAATAAGAAAAATTCGAAATGAATTCGTTAGTCATTGGGAACCGATTCGTAAACTATCTAAAACAGTGGTTAATCTGAATCTCAGGAAGGTGTAAGTCTGATATGAGCAATAAATTGTGCTTGAGACTTTATCAGTAAACATTACTGTATGACACACTGTGAGACTTTATCAATGAAACAAATTTCACCCATGATGGAAGTTGTAACTCTCTTTAATCTCCACCACTAGTTAGTGATTAGTGTTACGCGACTAGATCTTTGGTTGGTGCAGGCTGAATTTTACCAGTCTAGTTTGAATGGTGGCCACCATGTTTGGTGGCTCCTCGTCACGGTGTACTTTGAATTTTTGCCATTAGATGGTTAGGCGCAATGAGCAGGAAGCCATTGGACCAAGGTTTATTCCCTGCTGACATTAGTAAGCATGGCATATCTGAAATCTTAAAAGATCTTATATCAGATATTAGATAGTTGGAGGCGATCGGCAGGAAGCCTTGGACCTAGATTTCGTGCTAGTTGGCAGTCATCAGCAAGGCGTATCTGCGACCTTGAAGGAACTGATGTCCCTTCCGAGATTCAAACCCGCGTCACCCAGTTTTACTAGTGTTCTAACAAAATACCCACTACAGTCTTACAGGAGGTCAATCGCGAGCCCGAATAGCTCAGTGGTAACGTCTCTGACTGCAACACTGGGTGATGCGGGTTCGAATCGCAGAAAGGACATGATTTCCTTCAAGGCTGCAGATACGTCTTGCTGATGAGTGCCAACTAGCACGAACCCTAGGTCCAAGGCTTCCTGCCGATTGCCTTCAACTAGCTAATATCAAATCAATATGCACCGTGATGGAGAGCTACCTAGAATGGTGGCCACATTGCAAATACCTGACTGATAGAAGGACTAGATACGTCACACTAGTTACTAGTGTCCGATCAAGATATTATATATTTTCTGAGATTTAGATCTCTGTCATCCAATGCTGCGCTCAAAAGACTGACCTGCTTTTAGAATAAAGTCTGCACGAAATGGGGGACTAGACGCATGACATTGGTTACTGAC